ACTTAGGTTATAGGGAGCGCCGCGTTTCCGCAAATAGCGCTACAAGAAGCAGCACCAAAAATCAGTCATACCGACAAACTATGACCGGCCAGTGAACGGTCGGCAGGCAAGCAACGTGTAGGACGGAAATAGTGCTACGCAACTAACCACTAACCCACCGCCACGCACCACTACGCACTGATGATGTCACCTCGGTCGGTGATGAAACGTTTGCAACCAAATTGCCCAGCTCAGCGAACAAGCCAACGACCATAGTGCTACGCAGTTGAGATATATTTCAACATTAGCTAATTCACACGTGGTTGATAATAAATTCTCAACCACGTGGGGAGATGGAGATGTGTTCGTTGTGTACAAAACTTTCGTTTCAGCTTCTCTATACACGTGGTTTCGAGAGCATTGATTTATTTGCTCAAATGGCTTATCTCAACACATGGAAATTCCCCACTGAATGGAAGTTTTACCTCTTGATAATTGATCAGATTAAATCCATCCATAGACCAGAGATGTAATGAAGCGGTCTTGAAAAGGTAGTGTATTACGATAGAGGTGAGCTCAGTTGGACTGAACATTTTTTCAATAGAAAGAAATGAGATACTCCATGGCTGATAAAGAAACCAGAAAGAAAACATACATCACCGCCAAAGGCCCTCTCTTGTTCCACAAGCTCCAACTGGCCGAAACACAATCACTTCTTGATCCGGCCACGTACGGTCGTCTGCCCCTAATGTTGCCACTGTATTGTGGTAGTAAAAAAGTTAAATGTAATAGTTAGAGTCAATTTCGTACGGGGAATACTATAGCCACTTTGTTTAGACTTTACCTCCCTGGTTCCCTGGTTCATGCCTACGAGGTGAATCTTGCATTGTGAGAGCATTGAACATCAACTAATAAATGACGTCAATGTGCAACATGGATTAGGGTAACCCACTTAATCTTCCCGATGAATCAATACAGAAAACAAAGCGGCTATAGTTTGTGGCTAAAAATGTTTCGATTATTCATTGTTGTACATGGAATATCCAACAGATTTTCAAACTTAGATAATGGTAATTACGGACAAACTCGTGCTCTTTAATACGTTCAAACGAGTAATCATCACTATCAACTCTACAACCGTAGACACAAGTGCTAATATGTGATACATTGGTATATAACAGGACTTAAGGAATGAATTGGCCCCGCATAGATTTCGTGTCTCAACTAGCGAATTGAGTAAAATTAATCGGAAGAAACTTACGCGGGTCTATAGTTGCATACAACATAGTATCCGTATTTCCAATCAGGGTTTTTGCCCCTACAGTCGGTCGCTCCACATCCCAGCTTGGTAGAATCCTGCCATACCATCTGAAAAGGAGTGAACCACGCCAAAAGATCACGACTACCGAATGCGCTGTTTAATATTTGCCGAATCACGTATGAACTCCGCACAGACTATATCATGGGAGCTCACTTCCAACCCACCCACAACGTCAGTACAGGATATTTTGGAGTTCAAGCAAATTTTTCATAACACATTGATCTGACTACCGCTCTGTGACTGTATGGAAATTGTTTTATCGTCTCAGATTTCCCATCACATTTCGTGATGTCAT